CTAGGGATGCACTCTTTTTTTCTTTTAATCGATATTTTCATTCGCTACGTATGTTCATGGTATTGTCCGTAATACGCATAAGTTCAATTTTCCATTTTTTTATTATATTTTTTTGCGTCTCATAGAGTCCCTAAGCATATACCCGAACTCCTATACTCCCTCAAACGACACTCAGTCCTAAATGCAAGACGCAAGAGTCTCGCAAGCATAGTCTTGTTCTTGCGCAAATCTTGCACCGTCAGTCTTGGTCTTGGTCTTGCTAAAAATAGGCGGTCTTGTTCTTGGTCTTGGTCTTGCAAAAATGCAAGAACAAGACCAAGACTGCAAGACCAAGACCGATTTTGGGCAACACTAGTTGTGGGGGTGAACACCCAATCGCCAAATGTAAGAAGCTGGCGCAAATGGATCTGGACGACCGGTGGAAGTGGGTAAGGGAAGATGGGGTGTGTTTTAGGTGTTTAAGCAGCAAACACCGACGCCTGAGATGTAAGGCTAGGAAGTGCGGCGTCGACGGCTACAACGCCCCCTACCATGCCCTCCTTCACGCCCGCAAGGCCCGGACGCCTTAGAAATCGGTAAAACCGGAAGAAACCGTGCTCGTCGCGTCGAACGTTAATAGCAGTGCGTCGGTATTATTGAAAGTGTGCTCCATTACCGGGCGCGGACCGCGTGGTAAGAAGATAGATACGTATGTGCTACTCGACGAAGGCTCCACCATATCGTTGATCGACGACGACTTAGCTCGCGAGTTAGGAGCGGAAGGACCGATAAAGCCGTTCAATATTAGCACGATGATAGGGAACATACTCATCGCGACGGTACGGCCAAGGCGAAAGTAGCTCCGATTAAGGCGCAGAGTAACCGCGACTAGAGTTGCAGGCGAACTTGATAGGCGCACGATAGCAGATAGGGTCATATATTGGACGGACTCTACTACGGCGCTCCACTGGATATAGAACGATACGGCGCGTTACACTCCATACGTGGCTCATCGATTAGGGGAGATAGCCGAGAAATCGTCACCCGAGCAATGGAGGTGGATATCGACTGCGGAGAACATAGCAGATCAGGCGACGCGCATGAACTTCGTGAGCAAGGGAGAAAGCGACCAACAGTTCACAGGACCGTCATTTCTCTTTGAGGAAGAAGATACATGGCCTCACTGGAAGGAAGAGAAGGCAGGGGATGATGAAGAGTTGGAGGAAATCATGGCGCACCAGAGCGACGCCAAGGACGCTCCACACCTGCCAGACATAGAACGCTTCTCTTCTTACGAGAGATTGATCAGGGCCACAGCACGAGTACTGCAGTTCATCGATGCCATACGAGGAAGGGCACAAGTACTAACATTGCAGCACATCCAGAGGGCAGAGCGGATGTGGTTGGAACGCAGTCAACTCGACAGCTTCGCTGGAGACATCAGCTGACTTCAACAGGGTAAGAACCTGGCCACCGGCAGCGCACTTAGGAAGCTCGACCCCATAATGGAAGACGAAATACTACGAGCCAGGTGAAGAATCGACGCAGCCGACGTGGACGGCCAGATGAAGCGACCCGTCATACTGAATGGACGCCACCGATTTGTAAAGCTGCTTATAGAGAATTCGCATCAGGAGGCAAACCACGCCGACAGAGAGAGGGTGGTCAACGACCTACGCACCAGATATCATATCCTCCGACTACTCCGTACGAGAAGTGGAGCGGAGATATCTGTGATGCAGGGTACGCAAGGCGACACCACGGCCAGCGGTTACAGGAGACCTACCACCCGAACGGTTAGGGGCGTTTGCGCGACCGTTTACTTACACCGGAGTCGACTATTTCGGGCCTTCGATAGTTACAATAGGACGACGGCACGAAAAGCGGTGGATAGCACTTTCACGTATTTAATGATACGCGCGGTTTGTCTAGAGCTAGTTTACTCCCTAACGACAGACTCGGTGATATCGGCATTGCGCCGCATGGCGGTTAGGCGCGGGTGGTCACGGGTTATATATTCAGATAACGACACTAATTTTCATGAAGCAGATGCAGAGCTATGACGGGCGATGGAAAAGTGGGCGCCGCCGCTAAAGGACTACGCGCTGACTCGACGCACGGAGTGGAAGTTCATCGCACCGGGCGCGCCTAACCAAGAGCGTCTCGTGCGTTCGGTGAAGATAGCACTGGAAGCCACTCTCCATCAGAAGAGCCCACGGGAGGAGACTCTAGCCACGCTCTTAACGGAAACAGAAAACACCGTCAACTCTCGACCGTTGACCCATGTACCGGTCGACATCAATGATGAAGAAGCATTGACACCCAATCAATTCATCCTGTTGGGACCGTCGGGCCTACCGATCACCGCGCCGTGCTCACCCATCGATCGTCGGGCGTGGAGAGCGGCCCAGGGGCTCGCCGACGAGTACTGGAGGCGCTGGGTGAGGGAGTACCTGCCGACGCTGGTCGCGCGCGGAGTTTCCCGGGACGCTCAGCGACAGGAAACAAAAGAAGAGGACCTGGTCGTGGTTACGGACGGCAACCTACCGCGGACGTGTGGTCAAAGGGGGATCGTCAAGAGGACGTTTCCCGGACCTGACGGCGTGATGTGCAACGTCGAGATCCGGACTAGGGGCGGAGTGTTGCGACGACCAGTGAGGAAGATCGCCGTCCTCCCGAGAGAAAATTAGGCTCGCTTGCTACGCCGGCGGGAGAATGTTACGGACGGCGAGGGGAGCCGCCGCCTCGTCACCCCTTCATACCCCGATGCACACCGCGCACCCCGCACACTGCCCGAACATCACGTGATGCCGCCGATCAATCAGCGCGCGGCACATCTTATAATACCACTCACGTGCCGAGACGCTCTTTTTGGAAATATAAGAAGGGCGTTTTGTGCTGTGAGCTGTTCATTTCGGAAGAGGCACTACGAGATATTACATCAAGAAACAAGACCTCAAGAGAGAAAAACTCAAGAAAGAATACTCCATTGAAGACTCCCTTGACTCACTTGTGGAATCGATTACCATCAGCGATTTTTCCGGACCGATACGACTTAGGGACCTTAAAGAAAAGAGCCTACTCCTTTTTAAAAGGCCAGCAACGCATCTGTAATTCTCCTGGTTCCCCTGGTGTTGCAGTTGTTCATGGGCGGCGGTAGTTACTTACCATCAGGTGAGCCGCAGGCTCGTTTGCCCCCTCTCCTATAAAAAAAAATCATCACCTCTGTGTTGGGTACACACAGTTCGGCTAAATGAATTATGACAAATATGTACATATGACTTTAATGAGGCGCAATATCTATGGGCCATATGCCTGAGGTATTGTATTGATGATTTAATTAACACCTACGAAAAATATATAGTGCCTAAAATGTATTATATAATATTATGTAAATGTTAGTAAACTTGTTTGGATGTTAGTTACTTAATAATTTTTTTTAGATGAGTTTGGCACAAATATAGGCAATCTACACACCATGATCATTAACACACAGAATACTTTTTAGTAATATTTCTTGAAATCATTTGTACAGGCGCGTATACGCGTGCAAAAGTTTACACTTGCGATTGATACATCTTTACGGAAAATCCACCGTATTTATTTTAATTGTTACGGACGGCGAGGGGACGGCCTTGCCGTCCGTAACCCTTCATACTTCATACCCCGTTGCGCCCCGCGCACCCCGCACACCGTCCGAATCTCACGTGATGCCGCCGACCAATCAGCGCGCGGCACTACTTATAATACCACTTACGTGCCGAGACGCTCTTTTTGGAAATATAAGAAGGGCGTTTTGCGCTGTGAGCTGTTCATTTCGGAAGAGGCACTACGAGATACTACATCAAGAAAGAAGACCTCAAGAGAGAAAGCCTCAAGAGAGAAAACTTCAAGAAAGAATACTCCTTTGAAGACTCCCATCTGTGCATAGTTAATTAGTTAAAAGCCGCTTGTAAATAGTGCAATATATAATCGTCTACAGTACCATCTTTTCTTCAACCATCCCTAGTATAGTTTACCCTACATAGAAACAGTCGTCATACACAATAAAATCATACAGTTCACTGCAGTCCCCTACATTAAGGCCCGCTCTATACATACGGAATTCCGTTTCGAGATTCCGTTTCGGAATTTCGAACGGTCGGCCACACACAAACGGAATCCCGTTTTGCCCGCAAAATATCGAACGGAAAACTACCGTACGTGTGTGGCGGGTCATAGATTTTATATGGACTTGCTGCGTTCGGGATTCCGAATCGGAATATCGAAACGGAATCTCGAAACGGAATTCCGTATGTATGTGGCCGGCCTAATATAAAGAAAGATTTTAAAAGAAAGGCGAAACCTGGATTCAGTTTATATCAAGATATTACCATATGTGTAATAAATACTAAATACACTATATGATATTTTAGTATTTATTACACATATGATAAAGTTTGGAATGAGAACAAACGTTTGCATTTTACACTTAAGTAAAAAACAAAAAAAAAACGAATGTCTTTTTTGTTGTGGGAGGACCCATCACGGGTTACGCCATCTTAACATATCGTGATCTTGTTTTTTAACCCTCGACGCAAAAAGAGGGAATAAGTTTGACCGTTGTCTGTCTGTATGTGGCACCGTAGCTCTTAAACAGGTTAAGCGATATGGGTGCGTTTTTTTTTAAATTTAAAGCAGGTTTTTTGGCGGTGGTTTTACGACATGTTTTATCAAAATATGTTCAGCCGTTTCAATTTTTATTTAATTGAAATTAACGTCTTTGTAACGCATATTATGAATAAATTGTAGCTTTTTGCACTCCTTCTTCATATAAACTCTAACCATGCCAAATTTCACACTCCTCCGTGTATAAGTAGGTTTGTAGTAACTTTGTATATAAACTGTGATCGAAAGCTGGTCAGGTGGACACCCTCATCAATATTTTAATATGTGCGCGTGTTTTAAAAAATGTAAGTACTCTTTGTACTTAATATGAATATAAAAGAAAAAAAACAAACTAACTTAAAAATTCATTTATTTCACTTCTTTTCAGACTCTTCTTTTAGTAGCTGGAATATGAAGGAGAAGTCTTTCTGTCCGTAACCACGAGATTGAACTATGCGGTACAGCTGAGTGGTAACTGCGCCCAATGGAATTGGTGACCTAATTCCCAACGCCATGCCACTTGCTAACTCCAAATCCTGTAAAACAAAAGGAAAGTCAGACCAAATATGTTTGTGTGATTTGGTCCAAATTACATAAATTGGGGTTCCAATCCCAAATCATAATAAAACCATAACACCTATAATCACACACAGCATGCTGAAGATGGGCAAATATTTCAATTCATGCATGCCAGTTGACTGGTAACGTAATAATATCCTAAAAGGCGACAGAGGGAAACTGAAACAGAAGATTTTTTTTATAGGATAAGCGTGACAAGCGAGCACACAGTCCACCTGATGGTAAGTGGTTACTGTGGCCCATAGACCTCTACATCTATCCTCGTTTGCGAATAAAATGCAGATGCGTTGTCACCCGTGAGGACTAAGATGGAATGCTTCTTTTCCAGTAAAAAGGGTCTCCGGTTCTCTACACTCACCGTACGAAACAAATCAGCATTCATCTGCTATTTTACGCTGGTATTCCGTGAGAGCGTGGTCCTTCCCCGGTCGAGTCCGGGAAATACGTAAATAGGCTCAGAAGGGCTAGAACCCAGAGCCGTAAACCTAGTTTTAAAAAAAACTCGGTCGAGCCAACCCATTCGTGCTACAACTATACAATTATTATAGCTACAGCATGGCTTTACCACGTACAAAAATCTTTCATGATGGATCGTCCTGATAACAAATCAAAATAAAAAAAAAACTGTAACAAACTAACAACTCAACAATGGTAAAATATGGGCAATGAAGCAATATATGAGGGAGGCCGATGTTCAGCAATGTACTCCTAGTTGGCGCATTAAGCATTAAAATATAAATTAGACTAGTTTTTTTTTAAACTTATTATAAGCCAGTGCTTGACCACAAGCCTCTACCAGTTAGTAAAGCTAAGTCTAGTGACTTCAGATGTGGTGTTAGATTTATTGTGGTGGCAGTGATAATGCACGCAACAGTGGAAAGATTTAGGCATACCAATTTATTTTAAGGCACAATTAATTTTCACATCTCTACCTAATTAACACATTCTTGTAATTACAATTATTAAAATTAATAATTTCAATAAAGCAAGTTAAATATTAAATAATATCTGTTTGAAGCATGGATAATTTTTTAAATTATACTTATTTAAACATTTATTTGTTTAAAAAATTTACCTTAACCATAAGTTCATTCTTGAAACCTCCATCGTAGTTTCTACTTGAAGGTGCAGTCGGGACTAAACCAGGAACCGGGCAGTACACTTCAGTGGACCAGGATCTAGCCGAAGAATTGTTTAGTACATCCAACAGCACTTTCGGGTCTAGACCCATTCTGAAAAACGAGTATGTATCCTTACATTTAGCACAAAATGTGAAAAATATGTTATTTTATTATTTTCTCTTAGGATCTCTATATTTTTATAAACGCTTCTTTTTCCTTTTACGAGGCGTTTCGCAGTAATACATGAAAACCCTTTTGGAAAACAAAATTCCAGTTCACCTACATATTTATGAATCGTTTTGACGTAGTAGAGCTGCATGCTGCAGCTTATATATATATATATATATTAGCTAGACATCTACATTTATCCTCGTTTTCGAATCAAAATTCAGATGCGTTGTCACCCGTGAGGACTAAGATGGAATGCCTCATTTCCAGTAAAAAGGGTTTATGGTTCTTTACACTCACCATACGAAACACAGCAACGTTAAGCTGCTATTTTACGCTGGTATTTTGTGAGAGCGTGGTCCTTCCCCGGTCGAGCCGACCCATTCGTGCTACAACTATACTACTAATACAGCTGCAGCATGGCTTTACCACGTAGAAATACCACGTATAGTTTAACTAACGGCGCCATTCAGTAGCAAACTGGTTAAAATTATACTTGGTTAAATTATAGAGGGGTGCATAAGGCATTAAGTTCACCTTTTGTAACCCCTAATTGAAGTTGTTTGCAATAAAGGCTAATTAAACGATAATAATAACAGTGATAGTAATAATGATTATATCGTCTTGGCCGCATTTCATCACTGTACCATTTAACATAATAGAGATAACGATAATAACTTGAAAAGATACGTGCGTGAGTCAACAATATTCGAGATAGCTCAAAGAAAATCCTAACGTAACAAAGCGAGCCTTTTGAAAGTCTAGCTACGCCATTGTTAACATTCCTACTGCGAGAGACATCGCAGAAACAAGCTGCAAAGAAACTCACAAGTATTTTTTCCCTCAATAGTTACAGTTTTACTTTTGTGATATTTCTACACTAATAATATTATTTATTTATAAGCGGCTTATAAATAAATAATATTAATAAATATAGCCTAGATATGGCATCGCTGTCTATCTGTTCGTGAAGTTTCATCACAACCGGTTTAGTCATTCCTTAGATTAGTCCGGACAGACAGATAGACAGACAGACAGTCAAAGAGATAGACAGATTAAAAAAATGGTTATGTATGTCATAATGGTTTAAACGTGGTAGAGCCATGCTGCATCTATATTAGTAGTATAATTGTAGCACGAACGGGTCGGCTCGACCGGGGAAGGACCGCGCTCTCACAGAATATCAGCGTAAAATGGCAGCTTGACACTGCTGTGTTTTGTGTGGTGAGTGTAGAGAACCGGAGACCCTTTTTTCTGGAAATGTGGCATTCCATCTTAGTCCCCACGAGTGACAATGCACCTGAATTTTGATTCTTTATTGACTATAGATAGAGATGTATACGTCTATGGGTCACAGTAACCACTTTTCATCAGGTGGAATGTGTGCCCGTTTGTTACCCTATCCTATAAAAAAAACCCTCTGAGCTTAATAGAAGCCTGTTATTCCAATTTTACAGATAGGCAATACTTCTTTTTTAATTTTAATTATTAAAAACTTCAATTTTATTGTATATATCTAAAATAAGCTGCTATTTTGGAGAAGTCTATACTTTAGTGTAGTACTTGTAATCTTTCAGCTAGATCTAGTATTATCCTAAGACCTTTAATAAATAACTTCAAAAACCCTTCCATTTGCATATAAATATGATTGAAGGAAATCATGCAGATTGATACTTGGACTGATCGCTGAAATAAAATTGAAATTGGCAATTTCGTTTAGGGTCGTGCCTTCGTTTTACGTCTGAACCTTGATGGCTTTCAAATAAAATTTATATAAAATTTATGCACAGCTTGAACACATTCGCAACAATCTCTATTCATCCATTTAAATATTAAATTTTCTTGTTAAATCGAGCCAAGGGATGCCGCATTTGCTGTTTTGGTTCTTTAGATAAATACATTTAATTATTATAAAGCAATAAAGGTGACCAAAAAGCGCATACGAGTATTGTACAGTCGACCTACAGATAAGTGATACAGATCTTAGAAACTCCTGAGAACTATGATTGTTTTTATAGAAAATGGGTGAGAAATGAGCACACAGTCCACCTGATGGTAACCCAAGTAACACAGGAAGCATTTTAACAAACTAATAGTAAACTTATGTAGAACTTAAGATCCGTATAAACTCTTATATAAGTTCACCGAGCATCTTGACGCTTTATATTGGCATTTGAAAACCATTATGATGCTTTATACTGTATAACGATTGGATAATGACATATAAAAAGATTTTTGTAAAGCCTTCAGCTGTACAGTTTTCATCTGTTTTTAGTGCATTTGGATCTAAAATAGCATTTTTAAGTAGTAAATGCATGCTTATTGCTGTTTAATAGCATACATATGAACCATTATAATACCATGTAAATCCGCTATACAGTTTTCAGCTGTTTTTAATGCCTTAGGGTCTACAATAGCATTTTTAAGTAGTAAGATAAGCCCTAAAGCTGCTTAATAGTATAAAATTGTACCATTATAATGCAACGTAAATCCGTTATACAGCTTTGAGCTGTTTTACCCTTTGTGGTCTAATAGCCCTTCTAAGTTTTAAGTGAAAGCCTAATACTGATGAACAGCATAAACGTGAATCAATGTAATGCTTGCATTTTTAAAGATCTGTTGTACAGCTAACAGCTCTTATCAGCTCGTCAAATATAATGTTCACGTTTGAGTATATATAGTGGTGGTAGCATTAATTAGCCTTTCTAAAGGCTGCTATGGACCGACACCATTTTATAAATATTTCATAACCAAGAAATATTATCATTCGAACCTATTTATAAAACCAACAGACCTATATAATATTGATATAACTTAATTTTATTCTGCCCAACCAATGCTTTATGTAAATTCTTTATTAGGTATACATAACTTTTTTGGTTATATCATACATATCTTTATATAACATTTTATATCAATAATAATAATAATAATAATATTATTATTATTGGACCGCCTTCTGCATTTGATAATAATAATAATAATATTATTATTATAATATTATTATTATAATAATAATATTATTATTATTATTATAATAATAATATTATTATTATATTATTCTGCATATAATAATAATAATAATATTATTATTATTATTGGACCGCCTTCTGCATTTGAGCCTGGAGCGGTCCGTGACGGACCGCTCCAGGCTCAAATGCAGAAGGCGGTGCTCCTCGATACCGCCCGCATCGTCCGCCGGTTTCTTTCCTTTTCCCCCTAACCCTCGGCCGTCTGGTCTCCCCTGCCGAGGGCTTCCATCTGGTTGGGTTTTTATATATTTATGTATTTTTTATGTATTTATTTTATTTTATTCATATTTATGTATGTTTACCATTTTCATTTACAATTATATATTTATACTGCCCAACCAGATGAGAAAATTTTATAGATACCCCAAAATAATAATAATAATAAATTTATTCATAAGAAATATGGTACAAAGATGTTTGTATAAAATAATAAAGTATCACATATTTCACTAAATTTGGTATATGAAAACTTATAATTAGAAAATACAATATATTTAACTAAAATTAAACGTGCATCAGTTTACAATTTTGATATTAACAATTTAAAACACGACCAAAGAAGAAAAAGCGTTTTTAACAGTCACTAGAAACGTTCTTTTATTTTTAGCAGTTCATTTACCGAATAAAATTGTTTTTCCAGAAGCCACTTTAATAAATTACGTCTAAATCGATTATAATCTAATTGCCTTATTTCATTTGGGATTTTGTTAAACACTTGAATAGCCATCACATAACAATTTTTTGAGTACAGACTAGTTTTTAATGAGGGCAAAATAATTTTTTCGGGGTATCTGGTACTATATTTCACTGTATCTTTTTATTTAGTAAAAAAATGAGGATACTTTTTTACGAATATTGAAAGCTCAAAAATGTACATGGATGGCAGAGTAAGAACATCTAATTCTTTAAATAGTGGTCTGCAAGAAACAAGTGGCCCGACGCCACAGATTGCTCGTATACAGCGTTTTTGCGCTATGAAAGCACGGTTCACATCTGTCGAGTTTCCCCATAATATGAGACCATATCTTAATACAGCAGCAACATATGCATGATATGCTATAAGAGAAGTGTTTCTTGACGAGATTGAAGCTAGTCTACGTAAAGCAAAATTAAATTTAAATATTTTAGAACAAACATTATGAACGTGATCTTTCCAATTACAGTGTTTGTCTAAATGTATACCTAAAAATGTGGTACATTCAGTGACAGTAATTTTTACATCATTATACTTAATGTCAAGTGATTGCGGTTTACTATTAACATTGTAGGATTGCATAAATTTAGTTTTAGATAGATTTATACTTAGATTATTGTTGTTAATCCAATCAACAACATTTTCAATTGTATTATTTATTTCATTTTCATATTCTTTATTACAACTAGAATTAAAATTTGTTTTTGGTATTAATATAGAGATGTCGTCAGCAAATAATATTGTGTTATATTTAATGTAATTTGGTAGATCATTAATGTAAATTAAAAAAAGTAAAGGACCCAAAACACTACCTTGCGGCACACCATAATCATTTTGTAAGTATGAAGATTGAAATTTTAAAATTTCCTGCCGTTTTTTATCTTTTTGTTGTATTTCAAAACCACAAAATATCGAAGGCATATGAAAATTTTCAATGAAATTTATTATTATATATTTAAACATTTGCAGTAAACCACATTGCGCAGTAATAATTCAAGGCATGAAATAATAAAAGAGTCACAAACTTTATAAATTTTGTTTTGATGCAAACAAATATGGTCGCTCAGTTTTGATCGTCTTCCTTTGTCCACATATTATATTGCGAGAGAAATTAAGTAGTTTAAAATAGTGCGAGATAAATTAAGTATAATTAGTAAATAACATTTAGTACGTCTTATATAGAGATGTTTTAGCAATAATGTCGGATTTATTTAAGTTCTAACTGTGAACACTTAAATAGCTCCAATCATTCTTTTACTAAATACTAATTATTTTAGTCTAACGTTTTTATTATGCAATTAACATCTTCATTATCAATAATATTGCTAGTATCGTGCTTCTGTAATACGATTAGCAACTTCACTAACCGTAATAGTGCTTCTTTAATGCGATTGGCAACTTTATTGACTATAATAATGCTAATATAATGCGCCTGTAATGCATTCAAACAACTATTGTGAACCTATTTAAGGATATAAAGCCGTATAATTTGTGCCCAAATAAGCATCACAGTAGCCCTATTAACGTTTGTAATGCTACTATAGAACTAACTTAAAATGCGAAAACGATACAGAAATGCTGTAAGTGGGGCGTTATACTGCTTTGATGTGTTACTTGGGAAGTGGATGCTGAGGCCCATAGACATCTACATTTATCCTCGATTAAGAATCAATGCAGATGCGCTGTTCTATGATGTAATGCCTTGTTACGAGTAAAAAGGGTTTACATTATATAAAATACTCTATTCTCTACACTCATCATACGTCGTATTATGCTGCTAATTTTCTTTGGTATTTTTTTTACGAGCGTGATAATTCTTCGGTCGAGCCGAACTACCCATGCTATAGCCATAATACGGCTCTACCACGCTTAACACATTGTGGGTAATTTAAACAAAACATAGATAATTTTGCATAGCATTCATCAGATAACCAAAAACTCTTCAAAGGTTATTGGTAACTTTTTACTTATTTTAAGATAGTGCTTAATTTTAGCTTATCTGATGGAAAGTGTTGGTGAAGCTCTAGATGTTAAATTGCACTGTCTTAGTGCTACAAAAGCTTATCTCTTGTCTTGAACATAGATACTATATCTAAACTAATCAGGCTCGGGACGTTGTGTTTTATTCAGCAAGTGGGGCCATTATCCAAAATGTTTTCGACCTGATATGGGTTTATATGCATTCGTCAACTTTTGCAAAGTGTGATGATTGTTAATTGTTCATTCGTTTCAGCCAATCAAAGTCCACCGCTCAACATAGGCCTCCCTATAGATAACCCCATAAGAGCATATTTGTCATAGTTCCCACGCTTGGCAGGCGGGTTACCAAACGCAGTTATTTACTTTTCAGTTGTTATTAGGAGGAAAGTCTGCCCATCTCCTGGTTTGTTTCCCTCTGCCACCTCTTACGACAACCACGGACCTTTATAGAGTAACCAATAATCTTACACTGCGAACACACGGTACTTGTTATGATATAATATCGGAAACTCACTTAATACCCATGTTCATGCACTCGGCAGTTGCCATTCCAGTGATGCCCATCAGCATGTTGTTGGTGAGCTTCGCGACCTGACCGGATCCGATCTGACCACAGTGGAATTGTTTCGCGCCCATCGCTTTTAGCAAAGGCAGCGATCTATCGAAGTCCTCTTTTCGACCTCCGGCCATGAAAGCTAGAGTTGCGTTTTGAGCGCCCATGACACCTGAAAGAGAGTTTTCGCCCATTCAATAAAACCTCCGTTTAAAAAGAGTCCGATCAATACCAAGCATTAGATGAATATTGCTGTGACTGTATATCCTGTGAAAAATCTATCGCATTTTAGCGAATACTTAAATTTAAGACATGAATTTTAATAGATCTCAAAAATAATTTTAACAATAATAGAGTGGCAACGAGGCAACTGTCAAAAGTTGATCACTTAAGCCCACATATAATTATCATCATCATTATAATTATTACAGCCACTGATGAATACAGACCTCTGCCAAAGAGGCTTTGATCTAATTGCCGCGATTGGCAGGCGGGTTAGAGACCTAAGTTCTTTTTATTATTTTAAGTTGATGATTAGGAAGATGCAGTTGCCCATCCCCGGTGTCATTTCCCTTTCATTTTAAGCGCACTCATAAGAATACACTGTACTGATTGGAAAGATAACAATGAATTACCAGAAACAAAGTAGCAAATTCAATGTCAGCACTGAATGAGAGGCCTATGTCCATTGTGCTCATATATCCAGAACCTTTAAAAAAGTAGAAACGATTGCCCATCCAGAAAATACAGATATGTGCATGACCTGTTATTTTACGTGGTAGAGCCATGCTGCAGCTATATTAATAGTATAGTTGTTGCGCGAATGGGTCAGCTCGACCGGGGAAGGACCACGTTCTCACAGAATACCAGCGTAAAATAGAACCTTAATGCTGCTGTGTTTCGTATGATGGGTGTAGAGAACCGGAGACCTAGTTTACTGGAAAAGAGGCATTATCTAGCCCTTACGGCTGACAACGCATCTGCATTTTAATTCGCAAACGAAGATAGATGTAGATGTTTATGGGCCACAGCAACCACTTACCATCAGGTGGACTGTGTGCTCGTTTGTCACCCTATCATATAAAAAAAACTATTTAGATCATATAATTATATGAAAGCAAGAAATATAATAATTGGGTCCTGCGTCAAAATGTGCTCTAATTTTATGCTGTAAGTAATTTTGTTAATGTATGTAAGCTATAGTTTTAAAATATCATTGATTACAAGTCACGGATTACAAGTGAAGTGTATTTTTTTTATAGGAGAGGGGGCAAACGAGCATACGGCTCACCTGATGGTAGGTGATTACCGCCGCCCATGAACAACTGCAACACCAGAGGAATTGCAGATGCGTGTATGTTATGACCTGGATCATTGTTTTTTTTTTTGGGTACTATAATAAAATCCTGGTAAGTTCAGATTGTATATTCGTTAAATAAAACAAACCACATGTTTTATACACACCTGCTACCAACTTTAAACAAGAAGACAGGTCGTTGGCTTCTCTAAGGTTTAAGATGGAATATTCATAGCTGTGATCATACTCTATGTCCACACCTTTAAATGTGATCACATCAGCAGAAATGCAAACATTAAAACGAGTTGCCTATCTTTTTCTTATTTGCTTTCACGTCGTTTATTAATTTTATTTAGTTTTCATAAAAATGTATTATAGCCACAAAGCGAACATTAATTTTGTCTAATCGCAGTTGGTAACAGATGTACAAGATAAATTGATCTTTAAACGGCAGCCATACATTAAGATAAGAAATATCTCATTATTAGAAAAGATAATTTGAGTTTGCTTACGCGAGGGCAAATAAGTAATATCTTGAAGGTGATGTCACGCGAGTTAAGATTGTTAATATTTGTTGTTTAGTTAATAGTATATGGTATATAGTAATATAGTATAGTTATTTTAATATTTATATATTATTAAATGTTTTCATTCATAGAATAATTTTTATTCAATATAGATTAAAAAAATACTTATGGAAAGTAACACACGCTTTTACCGCAGGTACGAAAATCTTCTGTCCTGGGAAGAACTAACAAGAAATGCAGCAGGACGTTTAAAAAAAACCGGCAAAGTGCGAGTCGGACTCGCGCACCGAGGGTTCTGAACAAATCTGTAGGTATATAAGTTTAAAATTATTAAAAATATTTTTATTATATGATAAAACTAAAAATGTATGCTTTTCGCAATTTTTCCTTTATCTGTGCTATATAACGTTGCTTCGTACCAAATTTCAAGATTCTGAGTTCATGGGAAGTACCCTGTAGGTGTTGATTCACTTGCGAATGTCGAAAATTTACGGCATAAACAGCTGTCTCTTTTGATTTCGTTGGCTTAGAAGTTTGATTTTTTACAGCTCTAAGGGACAGTAGACTTAAGTATTTGATATGAATTTCAGCTTGATACCTGCACGCGTTCCTGAGAAAAAGGGTCTTGACATACAGACAGACAGACAGAAAGACGGACAACAAAGTGATTCTATAAGGGTTCCGTTTTTTCCTTTTGAGGTACGGAACCCTAAAAATATAATTTACTATATAATACGTACTACGATTAAATATGAAAACATTTAGACCTCATTCCCAAGGTTCATTATCAGTAATGTACTCTTTAGTAGTATAATACGCTCATTAAACAATTTTTGCTTAATAAAACTATTAAACGTTTTGATAGGTAGACCCAGCATATATTCTGAGACTGTTGTAAAAGCATATACATTCCATCTTGAAGGAGTTAACGACTCGTTGGAGTAGAGTATATCACTATTTTTAGTAAATCTATTTTTGATTTTGTGTAGATATATTAAAAGATTGAAAACTTTGTTACCTTTACAGTAATTTCTTGTAAGTCTCTAATAAAAATGGTAAATGTCCCTGAATATTTCATAATAATTTATCTGTATCTGATGAATGCCTTCTTACCAATATAAAGGGAATCCAGTTCTTGTCTCTCAAAATACGAAACACCGTCATTATGCTGCTATTTACGCTGGTATTCTATTAATTTTACTTCAATCATTTTGCATAATTTAAAAGCCAGTACATCCTATAAATTAATCCAAGGGAATGTTTCTCTTATATTTGTGGTCCATGTACAAAAATATGCCTTGTACATTTGGTGTCTTTCAACAATACACGGATATATTTTTTTTAAATATTCGAAATATCCTTTCTTACTAGATGGAGTGATAATCTAGTAAGACATATGTGAGATGTAGGTGGATGTAGGTGGCACAACACAGTGTTTTGTGGCATTCTTTGAACAACAGTGGACTCCTGAAGAGTTGTAATTATGATTTTTTTTGTTTTATGAGTTGTAATTAAAATTGTTAACCAAATTGTAAGGATTTGATCAATGCTCTTTATAGAGGGTTTCTACATAAATCTTAATTCTAATAATAAAATAGAAGAGTTAATAAAAGTACCTAATTTGATTTAAAAAACTTTTAAAATAAAATTGTTAATTATTATAAAATTGAAAATACTTTTTTCCTTTAATTTGTTTAATATTTTAATTACCTAGAAGAACTTATCTATTAATTTCATTTGTTTAAATGTTGTGTACAAATATTTAAGTAAATTCCTTTATACAACGAAATATTATGTTACTCAATTTCTAAAAAATTGATTAATCAAGTTATTCAAGAGTTACAGTAGTAATTAACGTATTATGTACATATATCAGCACAAACAGACTAAACAGTAACAGATAATATCAATATTGTTACCGCAGTATATTATTAGTATTACATTTTGTTATCAGTATGTATTCTTGTGTTGATTTTAACGCGAAATATCTTTATTATAATAGCGATTACATAAACTTGTGATATTGACCCAGAAACAACACTGACGCAATCTTTTATTTACCCTTTCAATGACTTTTAATGTTTGTTTTAAGAAATTAAAAAAGATTAAGATTCAAAAAGACACGGAGATCATGGACACTTCTCTCTACTATGGGAGAGTAAAGATGGACCAGTTAACAATATCGATATTTATCGTGATAAATATCAATATATCGTCAATTCAATTTTATTTTTATGGATAGATGTGTCAAAATGGTTTTTATATAATATTATTGTAATTGAAGAACCTTATGATTAATAAGTTACAATCGAAATATACTTTAATATAATATGTAGTGTAATTATAGGAGCAAGCAATAAAATCCTATCATGTATGAAATTGTATAGAAAAATATTCGATTAAATAATTTTATAATCTCACCTCCAGACACTGGTGCATCAATGAAGTTGACGCCTTTCTCTGTCGCTACGGGGAATATTTCTTTGGGTACATTGGGATCTACTGTACTTGAATCGATAAGGAGAGCTCCTTTTGTAGCCTAGAAAAGGCAAGAAAAAATTTGTTCAGGCTTATGTTAAAAATTCCTTGTATCACGTAATAGTTTTTGATTACCTTGTGTCTGTCTACTGTTTAATGGAAATGTAAGGAAACTCAACAAAATATTTCTTCCTGTGAGTGTGAAGAGGCGAATAGGGAAAAAACCGGAAAAATTTCTAAATTAGATCTGATTAGCCATGTGTCATTCATTTATTTCTAGTGATCCGGTCATTAAAGTATTGATTAGTCTTACGAACCGGGTCATTCGGGTCGATCATTCAAATGTATTATTTCAAGTTTCAGTACCTACTCTGTTATCTGTGGGACCCGCTCGATAATGTCGGTCGTCAGACATTAGTATACTCTTCGGTCGTAGGTCCTATCAATCGTTTGATCCGGAACGTTCAAAAAATTTAATTGCAATCACTAATAATTTGATGTGACCCGGATCAAATGAACGAATCATTCACTATTGACACATGTCTAGATCTGGTAATAGGATTGCCAATCAGTCTGACAAGCAGACAAGCCACCCTACAATGGGAGAAGCTCATATCCAGTAATGGAATAGTATGTGCTTATAGAGCGTGGCACGCTGTCAACTAAATCATAGAGTAAAAACCCCATTTGAAGAAAAAATAATATACTTGTTATACATACTTATTTAATTGATTTCAATTGAAAATTTGAGCCCTTTTCTGTTTTATTACTTTGTGAGTAAGTTAAAAATCTAGGGAACAACAAACATCGTTGAATTATTGAATTGAAAAGGCTCAGTAGTAACGATCCCGTTCCTTAGCCAAATTAGTTAGAAGATATAAATCTAAAACAAAGTAAAGGAGAGTTGGGACCAATAACACTTACGTGGTTCACGACGCCATCTTTTCCAAGGTAAGTGTCCAGCACTATTTTGTTGCTTGGCAATATGGAGACCACGACGTCAACTCCGTCCACAGCAGCTGCGATAGAGCTTGCACCAGTAACACCATTTTTCGCGGCTGCCGTTAAGGCATCTTTCGAAGGATCGTACCCGCGAACGTTGAAGCCCTGCAAAATTTAGGAGTAATGATACGCTTTAAGATTCTTTTATGAGGTTAGTACACGGAATCCACTCCCTTCAACACCCTTATTACCTTTCATATTATTTTGCAGGACTGCTGCGTTTTGGGTAATGTGAGTGTGGAGATAACATCAGACAGATAATATAGTGTATAATTACAGGCTAAGAAGCATTACATCTCGGAGATGACAACCCGTGGTACGTGGTAGAACCATGCTGCAGTTATACTAGTAGTATAGTTGTAGCACGAATGAGTCGACTCGACGGGGGAAGGACCACGCTCGCACAGAATATCAGCGTAAAATAGCAGCTTAACACTGCTGTGTTTCGTATGGTGAGTGTAGAGAACCGGAGACCTTTTTACTGGAAAATAGTCATTCCACCTTAGTCCTCACAGCTGACAACGTATCTGCATTTTGATTCGCAAACGAGGATAAATGTAGATGTCTATGGGCCCCAGCAACCACTTACCATCAGGTGGACTGTGTGCTCGTTTGTCACCCTATCCTATAAAAAAATCTAAAGACTTCTTTGTTTAAAGTTCTTTGCTGGTGTTAATGGGAAACCGTAGTCTCTTATCATTAGTATGACAGTTTGCTAACTGGTCAATTTATAATTTTGAAAAAAAAATTGCTGATAATTTTAGTGATAATAGTGAGGATGATGAACAAGATCGTTATCTAGCTATGTATCAATATGGCGCTCACATATTTTTTTTGTTGCAGTTATGTACTAAAACTGACATTATTTAAGGAGAGGGAGAGCAAAAAATTTAAACATGTCAGCTTTAGATTAATATTGTACAATGATGCGCATAACATTGTCTTATAATAATCGTGTTTGGGTACTATAATGAATTGGATAGTACTAGACGAATAGTAGTATCTTCTAACTCATTTCTGCTGCTAAGAAGTAGTGTTTGCTAAAGAGACAGTATATTTACAGATTGTGAGGCATTCCATCTTAATTCTCAGTGGTAGGTGTCCACGGAATGCAGTAGTCACTTACCATTAAATAATTCCTTGTAACTATAGTATCGCAGTATTTTATTATTTCTTCATTAAAATAAACCACAGTATTTAAGCATGTTTTCATACGACCATAAAATGAGCCGTGGTACAGCTTCCGCGACTGTCATAGATCACCTCACTTGTCCGAATCAACTAGTTCAGTCTAACTATAATATTATGTATATCCGTAATATATTAATTCTATATTAAAATAAACTTTGGCATTTGAGTATGTTTTGATACGACCATAAAATAAGACTGATTGCACAATCATTAAAAAACGTGAACTTGATCTTGATCATGACAATGGTTTTATTAACACAGCGGAGTTCAAGAAGGTTAATCTAAACATTCGCATGCAATATTATGTTAATCACACATTACGAGAATCGGAATTAAATTAAGAAAAATAGTAAAGTGTTGTCTGATAATACTTCATTTAAAAAAAATTATTAATTAGAATTCAATAGAATGTGGGTGGATCTTTTTTCAAAGATTAATATAGACATTTTTAATTAAACGAAAACACGAAATGTATTATATTTCACTATACACTCATTAATATAAATGTATTGCAATTGCAATGTTTCCAAGTCCACTGCTGAACATAGGCCTCCCGCAAAGAATGCCACAAAGCACGGCCCTGAGTCACCTGCACTATTAATTTTATATTTTTAAAAAGAAACAATTTTTAAAATAAAATGAACGCATTTATAAGCCCTCTGTGTTTTATAATCGCGTAATCTGGCTTAAATACAATGGAATAAAAATGATTTAATGTTATTTCGTAGCGAATCCACGTCGACCTTTTGAAAAGGTTTCATGCAAAAAGCGCCCATCTGCACATTTTAACATGGAATTTGCATAAATTGAAAAATTTTAATTTTAAATTTCAACTAAAGCAGCGTTTAAGGTTCCTTGGTCTGATTTTTCCTAAATATTCAATAGCAGTTCGCAATGTACACCTGTACAAAATTTGGGATTTACTTAATTAAGTACTTCTTTTTATTGATACATATAATTTAATAGCAAATAAAGTCTATTAAATCCTATTAAATTATATATTTCAGAAAGAAAATCATCACACTATTTATATAAATTATAAATTAAATTCTCCGCCATGAAATCTGTCAAATATTTCATTTCCTGGTGGCTGAAAAGTCATGGATGCCATGATGGAGTCATTAAAATAGAAATTAAAATCTTAATACTTTGGAAGACAAATAAAAATGCTAAAAATTCGCAGACATTTTATTCTGCTCCATCGCTTTCCTATTATTTTTTTTTTCAATCTTATCTCAGTTTGAAATAAGTAATTTCTTATGATATATTATGTCTATACCTATATGGTAAGGTGTTCGCTTCAAAAGTAAAAGCATTATACAAATAAAAATAAGGGCCTGGGCAAAAATTACAACAATATGATACGATTCTGTGACATTTTTGGCAGATATAAAACAAGTTAAAGTTGACTTGATAATGTGGAATAAATATGATTCTTTAGCTTAATGTAACTAAATTATGATCTATATTTCCACGAGTGCTAGACATGCCTTAATGAATTAAAGCACAACTACAAACAGCTACTGTTACTCAGAAATTACAAACGCGCTAAAACGTGCTTGTAAAACACTTCACACTTCATTCACACACACACATTCATTAAAATTCTGAAACTGTTCAAGAATGTTTCTAAAGGGTTATTTTGTAAGCGTCGCTAAATATGTACCTTTTTTACAAGATTGGCGGCCATAAAACCTCCCATATTTCCGAGGCCGAGGAATGCGACATTTTTATCTGCTTTCGAACTGAATCCTCTGATCGATATCGTTAACAAACACCGTGTGGTCAGTGCGCCAGTAGCCATCTTGAATTATTATTTTAAAACACGTACGACGGCGGCGCCCGCGCAACCCAACTAACTGATGATGTACCGAGTGCCGATAAAACCGGCCCACAAACCAAAACACGTTCGTAATGATAACATTCATTAGAATTCAAAGTCGTTTTAGGGATCTTAATAAATTATGTATAATTGAACAGATAATTTGCCTGATAATAGACGAAAGCATTTCGTCACAATTGTACAACCTTGATATCTACTATATTACTGATTGAAAAAAAAAAAAACAAAATACATTATTATGCTAAATTTATATCCATTACTATGGCTTCAACTGTCGTTGATACGAAATTGGTTTAGAATCTATCTTAAAACTGAAGTATCTCTATATTTTTTTTCTAGAGAGCTTCTATTAAATCATAAATAAACATATTTGTAAAACATTTGAAAGGAAAAAGTACCTTTGGAATATTAATCAAAGAAAAATCTCACGGACACACATAATTAAGATGGCTCTCCAAACGTTGACTACATTGATACAGTTCTTATCAAACAACTATTTAATTATCAACCTTAGTAGTTGGTAATAGAAGTAGTTCTCAATCTACGCATGTGTTAATTCACATATTAATTCAACTGTTTAAACATAGATCTCGGCCCCGCAAGGTCATTGCGTGAATTTGTCTCTGGGAAGGCGGGTCTATTTAAATGATATCGGAATTGCTAGGTTTTTGATAAGATGACCTTGGAGGTATTATATTTCAATCTTAAATAATGTCTTTTAGGGTCTGCCACCTAAATAGTGTGGCTAAATCTCCGCGAACTATTGAGATAATATTGAGAGCCAGCTTATCGCTGTATTGTGGCTGCAGCACGAACACATGAGTAAAGAAATTACTCTGCGGCACGAATGCACCAATTGGCTCGACCGCGGATGGACCAGCATGCTGTTTTGTTTTTTGTTAACGATGTGAGCTAGAGACCCTTTTAACTAGTAACGAGTCATTTAATTTCGTTCCAGGCGGGTTAGCAAACTAAATATAACAAAATAAACAGAACATAACTGCTACCACATGCTAAACATATTTTCATTCAAAAATTAACAGGCGAAATACTCATCAAAGCGATGTACACAATGTTGGACCACAGCGTTATTTATATATTTTTTTATTATTCCATAATTTAAAATTAGCCAGGACTGAACATAAAATAATAAATTTATTCGCATTACGTAGACAAATTCAATAAAACTTTTTATAACCTTCCACGTTCACAGGCTTATTACGTATTCCGAAAGGAATAAAGATGTAATTTATATAAAAAAGTTGAATTAGATTGATGAAGAAACGAATAAGTGGGAAAGATGTCGACTTATAAATAAATTTCTTAAATATTAAATTACATCTGTAGATTGGAGACGGAGAAGAGAAACTTTATTTACAAAGTACACTAATTTCTTGCTACAAAAGATTCATAATTGGACTAATTTAGTACATTTTGCAAATGAGCTGACGTCTCACCGGATAATACGTGGTTACCACAGGAAAAATGCAAGTGCGACTACCTTGAACATTGAAAGTCATAGATTTATTGACACCCTTGCGAATTAAGAGCGAAAACTTCATAAACTGAGTATTTGTTTTTGCGGTACCAATCCAAATGAACTGCAAAGAAGTACATTGTTCTAAATCCCAACGGGATGTACCCGAATTTATGTGAAAAATACACAACCTATTGCTATTGTTTATTTGAAGTTGGTGAGAGTACATTTTATTCTATCGTTAATATTGTTACATAAAATTTGAGTTTTTACGTGGTACAGCTACGCTACAGTTATATAATGGTTGCAGTAGGAATAGGTCGGCTGGAAAGGGTAAGGTCCACGACCACGCTCTCACAAGCCTAATGGTGTGTCGTATAGTAAGTGTATGGAACTGCAGGCCCTTTTTTTGGAAGCGATGCATTCCATCTTAAGTCTTAACCCTAAGGGGTAACAACGCATCTGCATTTCATTCTTAAGGGAGGATAGATGTAGATGTTCATGAGAGACAACATCCACGTACCATCAGGTGGAATGCGTGTTCATTTGTCACCATTATTCTATAAAAATGTGAACATATTTACTTTGATCTTTTAATTGCTTAATACACCTGATGTTGGAGATTTAAGAGAATCCATCACCGCATTCCTTCTTGTAAGTATCGTAAGAGGCGTCTATAAGAAATGTTAGTGAGATCTTTCGATATATGACGGAATATGCACTTATCTTTCGATATATGACGGAATATGCACTTATCTTTCGATATATGACGGAATATGCACTTATCTTTCGATATATGACGGAATATGAACTTATATTTCGAAATGTGACAGAATATGCACTTCTTTCGATACATTTTTTCATAGGATAGGGTGACAAACGAACACACAGTCCACCTCATGGTAAGTGGTTGCTGTGACCCATAGACATCTATCCTCAATAAAGACTCAAAATGCAGATGCGTTGTCACCCGTGAGGACTAAGATGGAATACCTCTTTTCCAGTAAAAAGGGTCTCCGGTTCTCTACACTCACCATACGAAACACAGCAGTTATTTTACGTCGGTATTCTGTGAGAGCGTGGTCCTTCCCCGGTCGAGCCGACCCATTCGTGCTACAACTATACTACTAATATAGTTGCAGCGTGACTCTACCAAGTAAAACGTCTTTCGATATATGACGGAATATCCATTTAGTTTACGCCAGCTGTAAAAAATCCCAGACCGCTGACGAGGAGAAACGTCAAAGATAAAAGGTGAGACGTCTAGTATTACGATCGTCAAAGGCAAATTAAAGAGCACACAAGTTTACGTGGTAGAGCCATAGTGTAGCTATATTATAGTCGTAGTAAAAGGTCGGCTGTACCGGGGAATGACCACGCTCTCTCAGAATACCAATGTAAAATAGCAGCGTAATGTCGCAGTGTTTCATATGGTGCGTTTAGGGAACCGGAGACCCTTTTTATTGGTAACGAGGCTTTCTATTAGTCTTTAGTGTTGGCTTTGTCAATGTGTCTGCATTTTGATTTGTAATGGAGATAGATGTAGGTGTCCATTTTTGTTTACAGAATATGGTGATTAACAAGCACACAGTCCGCCTGATGGTAAGTGGATGCTGTAGCCCATAGACATAGTCTATCTAGTCATGGGCTACAACGTCCACTTAACATCAGATGGACTGTGTGCTAATTTGTCACGCATACATATTCATTTAAAATATCTGAAAACGGTTGACCATCCCTGGAACTTCCCGCTTAATTTTCAGCGCAACGCTCGAACTTCTTTACTTTTTGAAAATATTTGAAACGGGTCCGACCGATTGACTTGAAAATCTATTCTGCTCGAAATCTCAATGAACACTTTCGAAAGCCGTGTCGTGACAAAATTTATACATTTTTACACATACACACACACACGCACTCACGCACGCACGCACGCACGTTGTTGGAACAGCTCCCTAGCACCTCAAAACGTGGAGATCTGATGAAAACTCGCATTCTCAAAATCGGACCGAAATCTATAACTTCCTGCTTTTGAAAATTATTAATTTTCAAAGCGGGAGGTTAAAAATTGACACAGTTTTGGTTATTTTAGAGACCACATTAAAGTGACTAAATTGTATATAGGATATTCCAAAATGTCTATAGGATCAAGAATCACTTGATTTATAGTTTTAAATGTTTTTAAATTTTCATTTATTTATTGACCTTTATTTGTTTTGTTTTCCGGCTTTTTCGAAGACGTATTTGAAATTTTTAAGACTTAGTTTATCAATAGATTTTAAACATTTTGTAATCTTAAAAATTGATTGCGTGTAAAAGTCCTTAATAAGAAAAGAAAAAATCTTTGAATAAATTGTAGTGTGCAAAGACCAGTGTACTTTGGGATGAGCGAACATTTTGAGTTTTCTTGGAATTATTGAGATAGAACTGACACTGAACTGATATGAACTAATTAACCTCCTTATCTCCTCTTAGCAACAATTTGTACATTTTACAAAAAGAAGTTGATATTATTCAATGAAAACATTTTCAGATGAAACGTACCTATTCGTTTCAGACGGATTTAATTTTTGACATTTACCGATGTAGTCCCAGGACAGAAAATAAGAGACTTATAAAAAATATTAACTAAAATAATATATGTGTGACAGGAAGATTTTTAAGCACTAGATTGAGACGCCTCGCAAACTACATTGGCTTAAAAGTGGTTGAAGTGGTATTTTACCGTCACCGTTACCGTTACAGGATATAAAAGTATATTGCTCAACAAAGGTTTCTCCTGTTGATTGCTCTTCCTTTGCTATAGTAGCCACGCTTGGCAGGTGGGATGGCAACCGCAGTTTTTAAAAATATATGTGATAATGTGAAAATATCAAATGTCATAAATTATAATCTTAAAACCAGTATGTATACTTAAAGCGGGTAAAGCCGCCACCTTGCAGCAAAGAGTGGAAATCCTTATTAGTTTTATTGGTTCTCATTCGCATCACGTACGAATTCCTTTGTCTGGAATGGGGGAAAGCTGTGTCACGTACATTTGTGATTTTTAAAGCTAACGCTACGTAAGGTTTGTGTGGATTAAATAACTTTTTAATTTCGATATTACGTGTAGTTGAAACTTACATTAGAGTTAAAATGTGCATAAAAAGAAAATATTACTTAATATTAAAAATAGATATTGATAAAAATTAAACTTTATAAAAATAAGTTCTTTTACGCGGTAGAGCCATGCTGCAGCTGTATTGTATATATATATATATATACGAATGGGTCGCCCGACCGGGGTGGGACCAAACTTTCACTGAATACCTGTGTGAAACAGCAGAATATTGCTGTGTGTTGTTGTTAGAAAACCATCAAAAAGTTATTCCATCTTTGGCCTCTACAGTGAAAACGCATCTGCATTTTGATTCTATATGTAAATCGAGGATAAATGTAGTTCTCTATGGGCTGCATCCATTTACCATCAGGTGGATCTTATGCT